ACCATGTGAAACTAACTGAACAGGAATGAATTGACTAAGTCAGAGTTGGGTACAAATACAACCCTAGCAAACTGTACCCCATATGTGCTACCCCACTATAGCCTACAAACATGCATCAGCTATAATAATCTGACAACTTCTTCTTCTTCATGGCGGCGACGGCGAGAAGGATTCGGAGAGAGGTATGTCACCTGACTTGGGCGAATGTCTCGGTGAAGTCTCGTCCTTGCTCCTGATCGAATCCACGCACGACCCAGCGTGCTTTGAATTTCTCGATCGTGCCGTCTGCTTTCGTTTTGATGCGGAAGACCCATTTCCCGGTGAGAATAGTCTTGTTCCTTGCCACGCTTGCGGGAACGACCTTCCAGGTGTTGCGTTCCTCCAATGCCTTTAGTTCTCTGTCCATGGCTTCACGCCATTTCTCCCTGTGTTCCCCCCCCAGAGCCTGCTGAACCGTCGCAGGCTCCTTAGGAAGCGCGTTGCCGTGCACTGCGGTGACGAGGCCGAGGATTTGCAGTCCAGTCTGTGAGTATCGGGGGGGTGTTGGATCCTCGGGATAAGCTCCTTCGTCTCCCGCTTCTGGATCGGGTATGAAATTTGGCCCTATCCGTTCTGCTTCATTTGTGTTGACTGTCGCAGGTGTTACGTAACCGTTGTCGGCGAAGTGATAGAAGACTTCGGCGTTGTTACTGTCGCGAGGATTTTCTTCGTCCATGGGCACGTCGACGGAGCAGAACGGGAGAGGTCCGGCTTCTTCCGATGCGTTGTCGACGTTTTGTTCATTCCAGTCTGCTTCGTCCGCTGCTGAGGCGAAGGCTTGGTCACCACGAAAGCCACCTGTGGGGTCCTGATTCTCGTGCAGGTTGGCGAGGTACGTTTGAAGGGTGAGTCGCTCGTAGAAGATCACATCACGTGCTGCTACTGTTTCCTTTGAGTGGACGTCGAAGATTTTCCACGCGTTGTAATTTTCTCGATGCCAAGGTGTAGTCCCCACTGTGCCCGTTGTGAAAATCTTCCCGCTCGTGCTTCTGGGGGTCGGTACTGTACCATGCACCCGAAAACTTGTAACATTTTTTGCTGCCCTGCTTCCCTGTCCACAGCAGGTGCGGTGATGCGTTGTTCGGGAGTGACGACGACGACAGCAAGTTGTGCAGCATGACAGCATGGTCCATTGCTGCTGGCCATTGGTGGTTGGGTAGCCGCATGCCACGTAGTAGTTTGCGCATGCTGTTCTGCAAAGTCCTGTTCATTCTTTCTGCGACACCTTGCTGCTGATGTGCGTAGGGAAGGGAGAGGAGTTGCTTGATTCCCCTTTCCGCCAGGTACTGCTTGAAGCGCTGAGAGGTGTACTCTCCTCCTCCGTCTGACTGGAAGCTTTTCAGCTGCGTTCCTGATTCCCTCTCTGCTACCGGTAGCCAGGCGGCGAACGCTGCGAGAGCCATGTCGCGGCTGGGTAGGTTTCGATGCCAAACGTATCGAGTGGCGGCGTCGATGAAAGTTATCGTGTAGTTATAGGTAACTTGTCCTGGTTCTCGATTGAAGAGGATGTCGCTGTATACTTTTTCAAGTGGTGCGTATGCAGGTGCGCTCGGGTTGTGGTGAGAAGGAAACGGTCGATGGGGTCAGTCGGCTTCGGGGCATATGAGGCAAGTTCCTCGTGCCCGTTGAAGTTCTCTGCCGTCGGGTAGAAGTAGTGAATCTTTGTCCAGGACTCCTGCTCGTATTGTGTTATTTAACACCGTATTGCTTGGATGTCCTGTGCGTGCGTGCCAGATGTCTTCAGGAGCGCGATGTCCGGGTGAGCGTTGATACGCGTCAGAGTTGGAGTAGAAGCTGGCGACGACATTGGCGCTTCTGTGGACTTCTCGTTGAGTCGGGTTCAGCTGCTGTGCGAGTGTTGGTGGTGCTTCGTCGACGATGACTGGTTCCGTTGGTCCTGCTGCTGCCGATGATGTCTCTGCTGCTGCCGATGTTGTCTCTGCTGCTGCCGATGTTGTCTCTGCTGCTGCCGATGTTGTCTCTGCTGCTGTCGATGTTGTCTCTGCTGCTGTCGATGTTGTCTCTGCTGCTGTTGTTTGTTGAATCGTCACTAACGCTCGTGTTCTTTCTGCTTCAGGGATGGTGTGCGAGTACCAGAACCCTCCCGGGCTGAAGTCGGAATCGAGATCCGGGGGGTGTGTCCAATCGGCGAAGTTGACGATGGCGTCGCTGTCTGCAGTGCCAAGGTCGGGGGCGAAATCGAGGACGAAGACGTTGTTCTTCAGAACTGCTTTTCCGATGTAGAGGCCGCCCTTCCCGTGGTAAAGTTTAAACTCCTGGGTGGTGCTGTCAGCTTCCAAGTGAATACCTTTCGCCATCAGCTGGCTAACACGCAGTAGGTTATAGCCGAGTCCTTCTGCGATGAGTACCTTTGACATGTGCAGTATGACGTTTGTCTCTCTTGATTGAAGCTGAACTATTCCTTGTCGTCGTGTGCGCAGGTTTTGATTGTTGGCGGCCGTGATGACTACTTCTCGCTGGAGTCGATGCTCGCGTTGAACGAAGCGCCCGGAGGAGCACATATGTTGTCCGCAGCAACTGTCCAAGAACCAAGTGTCTTGCCCGGACGGTTCACTTTGAGCGATGGCGGCGTACGTCGGATTCGGTTGGAGTGACTCGCGGCGAGGTGTTCTGTTGTCGAGCTCTTCTTCCGGTGAGTAGTGCGGTGGTGATTCGGTTGTGCACGAATCGGTTATCTTCACCATGCAGTTGACTATGTTTCTTACTCCTTGTGCATGTTGTCCAGTTGAAGTCGTTGAAGCTTGGATTGTGGTCGTAGGATTTGCTTGCGTTGAGGCAACTTGGGAGCTTGAAGGCCGGAGCTGTCGCTGTGGTGTTGTCTGACAAGACGGGCAGTGCGTGCGAGGATGGCCCGAAGTCTTGCAGATGTGGCAGAACGGAGGTAACGTCTTCACTTGTTGCTGTTGTCGATTGTTGTTGCCGTTGTGTCGTCGCTGAGTGTGAAACGCAAACTCCGGTGCTAATGCTTTCTTCTTGTGTCTTTCTTCTTGTAGGTCCATGTCCTGCTGCTCAGCATGAATTTTGGCGCAGAGTGCCGCTTCGGAGATCCTCCCGTGTGCTCGTAATATGGCGCGGGTGGAACGCCAGTGGGGCCCGAGACCGCCGATGACCACCGTGACAAAGGCGTCTTCTGAAATCGACCCGCCGCATCGAAGAAGCTTGTCGCGCAGTTCGCGGCAGCGGCTGATATAAGCTATGCCTTTCTCGCCTGGTTTCATTTCAATCGTTGTCAGCCGCGCCATTAACCTGCTTTGATTTACGCTGTCTGTTGCTTGATACAGGTTCTTCAGGTGGTTGTACGTGAGCTCCGCGGAGTTGCCGTAGCCTCGGTAAGCCTGATGTTCTGCTGCTGGGTTGGGGTGATGTTTCTTAGTAGTATCGTGTACACCATCATTGATTGATAGGTGTACTGCTGCTTCTCATATTGTGTCCCGTTTGTTGGATATGGCAGGGACCCGTCGAAGAAGCCGAGAATCTGTGCTCCTTCCATCATCAGTTCGAACTCGAACGACCAGGTGAAGAAGTCTTTGCCGTCGAAAGGCTTTGTCGTTTGCAGTTTTAGGACATGCGCGAATTGCGATTGAACTTGTAACGCATCCAATGCCCTTTCTTGTCCCGGTGCAGGTTGCGGTTGCGGCATGAAGCTGACGGAGCCACGTTGGGGCTCGTACGGCGCAAAGGTAGGCTGCTGTTGTTGTTGTTGAATCCCGCGTGCGTAGGATGAGCCATCGAGGCTCATAGGAGTCACGTTGTTGTTGTTGCTGTTGTTTGACTGCGCAGGTACTCCTTGCTTGTGCTGCTCGTAGAAGGACATGAAGGAGAAGAACTTCTCCATCATGCTTGGATCGAAGCCTGCGGGAGTTTCCGTGGACCCAGCTGCTGGTCTCGTAGTAGTTCCTTCCTCTGTCTGTAGGCCAGAGGCAGGAGGTGGAGTAGGAGTAGTGCCTGGGGAGCCGTTGGAGGAGCTCCTCTCCTTCCTTGCAGACATGTCTTCTTGTATTTGAGTGTTAAAGGAAAATAACTTTTTAAACTCTAACTGCTCTCATACCATGTTGGGCAGAGGTGCCCTAGGATCTTTGTAGAGCTTAAAGTCTGAGTAGGATTGTAATAGCGGAAGCGTTGAATAAGAAAGCCTTGAACCACCTTGCGCTGGTATGTGAGGGCAAAGTAAGTTGATTAAAGCAAGCAAATACAAAGCTTTATATAAGGGTACAAGGAATACGAATAGATATAATTAAACTGTTTTGCTGTTGCGATTCGATACAGTGCGACTCGGGCAACTGCTCAATGTCGAATCAGTTGTGTGTCCTTGCTGTCGCGCTGTATTTGTCAAGTCAAAGGTCGCTGACCTTTGACCTTCGCGTAACCTCCAGGCGGTTACCCTAACCTCCGAGGGTTGACTCGCGATGCTTCGATTCGGACTGCTTCGCTTGTGTCCTGAGTTTCGACACGACAGAGGCGCTTTAAGACTTATTATTCCCAACAAAATGGTCCATGCTTAGGAAGTTCCAGTCCAATTTGTGGGAAACAGCCATGGAAGAGCCAGGCCAGTTGGCATCCTGTTGCTACACTTGTCAGTGCTGCATTATACACATCATTTAATCATTCCTTATGACACAAACAATCCCTGTACACAAAGCTGCCATATCGGAAGATGTTTGAAGCTATAGGCTTCTTGAACGCCTTTTGGTTAGGCGTGCCTCTCTACAATCAAATTCTGCGCATTTCAATTCTAGAGTGTAAGGTGTTCAGATTTCTGAGCTATATTTGCCCAAGCTACTTGCAAAAGCACTGAAATGGCAAGGTTCACTGGAGCACCAGCGCAGAGCAAGGCAATGGCTTAACTTGCTTCTTGTTTTGAGTCAACTGATTCTACATTGCTGCAGTGCAGTGCGCACAAGCTACGGTATGTGGAATGATAACACTGGAAGGCTAAATCGTCACTGGAGCGAGTCCAGAGCACAAGGCCACGGCTTGCCTGCCATAACAGCTTCAACCTCGGCCACATCACGAGGGCACTTGGTAAGGTTCTGGATGCCCTCTGTTGTTACCACCTGAGGTGAGCACGTGGGAAAGGAAGGCAGACAAGTTAGGATGGGAGAGGCAGGCTGCTTGGCTGCTTGATTGTTTGGTTTGAGTCTCCCATTGTAAACATGCAGGAAAGGAGGTTGTTTGCAGTCAAATCCTCAAAATTGACACGGTTCTTTACCGCACACCACCGCCACTCACCACGTCATCTTCCAGCCTCACACCACCAAAGCCTCGAAAGTGGGCGATTCTCTCAGGCACAAGGAAGCGGGCAACAGCCGGGTCAGCTAGGGCTGGATCCAACAGAGTGTCGATGAAATAGCAGCCCGGCTCGACTGTGATAACCTGGAGAGAGAGAGGGAGAGAGGGATGAGAACGGGAGATCAGGGGAACAGGCGGGTCGACAATAGCAGCCTGGCTCCGCTGTGATGACCTGGAGAGGGGAGAGGGTGAGAGAGATTTATGGAAAGCGGAGATGAGGGGGAGAAAGGAAGCGGGCAACAGGCGGATCAGTTACGGCTGGGTCCAGCGGAGAGTCAATGAAGTAGCAGCCTGGTTCCACCATGATGACTGGTTATGGTGAAGGGGAGAGAGAGGATGGGAAAGGAAATGAGGAGGAGAAAGAAAGCGGGCTACAGGTGGATCAGCAATGGCTGGTTGAAAGAGAGAGTGGATGAAGTAGCACCCTGGTTCCACTGTGCTACTTCATCCACTCTCTCTTGGAACCAGCCATTGCTGATACGCCTGTAGCCCGCTTTCTTTCTCCTCCTGTGATGACCTGGTGACGGGGGGCCGCGAGTGAAGGAAGAGTGAGGGAAGTTATTTGAAAAAGCAGGTATAGGGAGGGGAGCAAGCAAGGGTCAGCAAGGGCGGGATCCAAGAGGAAGTCAATGGAGTAGCAGCCTGGTTCCACTGTGATGACCTGGTGAGGGTGAGGGTGGGAGAGATGGAAAAGGCAGATCAGGACAACAGGTAGGTCAGCAAGGGCAGGGTCCAGAAGAGAGTCCGGCTCAAGTGTGATGACCTGGTGAGGGGAGAGAGAGATGGAGAGGGTGACGGGAGAGAGAAGGGGAACACGGAAGCGGGCAACAGCTGGGTCAGGAAGGGCTGGGTCTGGTCTGGCAAAGTGGGGATGATGGGATGAGGGACTGAAAACAGGAGCAGGAGGGATGCTCCGATGTGTAGTCGCACTAAGAGAAGCTAACCACACACACCTTGTGATGCTAAACCATGCCGTACCATGCTATGCTAAACCATTCCGTACCATGCCGTACCATGCTATGCTAAACCATTCCGTACCATGCCGTACCATGTCGAACGACTCCATACCATGCCAAATGGTGCGGTGCAATGACAAATCGTGCTGTACCATGCAAAACTATATTGCACCATGCTGCACCACACTGTACCATGCCATACATATCAAAACATGCTGTGCCATAGCATACCATGCTGTACGATGCTGTAGAATGAGAAGCCATGCTTTACCGAGCCAAAACATACCATACCATGCCAGCTTCCAAGTGCCTTGTTGTGCGAAGAGACTTGGCCCCTGGCTCGTTCAACCTCTCTGCCTGCGAGTGGCTCAACATGGAATGGGAGATGGAAGAGAGCAGGATAGGAGCGGGGTGGTGGAGCGGGGTGGGGGAGAGTGAGAGGGGGTGGGTTTGAGCGAAGCAGGATAGGGGAGACAATTATTTCCGTGGTTATTGCAGCTTATTTGGGTGCATCCAACAAGTATGAATGTACAGCTGTGGCACATAAATTGACTGGAGCCCTTACATTGTTGTGGCCACCAAAGTCATGCGCGCCAACCAGCTCTTTACCACAATTCGACTAAAAAACCACATCAAACCAAGTTGCAACTACAAGCCCCTGTAGTTGCAGCTTGGTTTGATGTGACTTTGAGTCACCTTGTGGTAAAGAGGTGGTTGACACGCATGACGATGGTGGTTACAATGATGTACGGTTTTGAGTCGACTCAAGAGTCACATCAAACCAGGCTGCAACTACACGGGCTTGCAGCAGTGCGTGAAGGAGTGGCATCTGAGCTGAGCCCTTACGTTGCTTTTGAGGCGCCTCAAAAGGCATCTGAGCTGAGCCCTTACGTTGCTTTTGAGGCGCCTCAAAAAGCATCTGAGCTGAGCCCTTACGTTGCTTTTGAGGCGCCTCAAAAGGCATCTGAGCTGAGCCCTTACGTTGCTTTTGAGGCGCCTCAAAAGGCATCTGAGCTGAGCCCTTACGTTGCTTTTGAGGCGCCTCAAAAGGCATCTGAGCTGAGCCCTTACGTTGCTTTTGAGGCGCCTCAAAAGGCATCTGAGCTGAGCCCTTACGTTGCTTTTGAGGCGCCTCAAAAGGCATCTGAGCTGAGCCCTTACGTTGCTTTTGAGGCGCCTCAAAAGGCATCTGAGCTGAGCCCTTACGTTGCTGTAACCACAAACATCATGCTCGTCAATGCCAAGAAATTGCCCCAGACCATGCGGCATGTCCGTGTGATATATGCTACCCACGCACATTGACGCCCCTGAATCCCAGACCATACAGCATGACAGGGTGATGCCCATTAACCATGCACATTGCACACTAGCACTGGGCCCTTACGTTATTGTAGCCACCAACATCATGTGTGTCAATGCCAAGAAAGTGCCCCAGCCCATGCGGCATGAACAGGGCTCCCAGGTGCTGTTCCATCATGTCGTCAATAGACCTGCACTTGTATGGTGCGGTGTAATGTGGTACGGTGCGGTGCATGGGGGTAACATTTAGGTCGAGACAGAGCTCCCAGGTGCTGTTCCATCACGTCATCAATCGACCTGAGCAGGGATAGTGCGGTGCAGAGCAAAGAGGGTCTTGTTTGTGAGGCACTGCAAAAAACAATGGAACACACCCTGCAGCATGAACAGAGCTCCTAGACGGTGGGATGGTACTGACAAATCATGTCGTCCACAGACCTCTACATGTGCTAACAGAGCACCTAGATGGTACTGACAAATCTCAGAGTGACGTTGAACAGCCTCAAGAATAGTAAGAGGTGGCAATATACCCCTTGTGCCACATCCCCAACAAGTGCCACCTCTCCCAGAATCTCCGCACTCACCCCTGCAGCAACCCCCCTCCTTTGAGGTGCTCCAGAATGGTTCGCTCTGATAGCCTGGTGTGTGGGAGGGGGGGAGGGAGGGAAGGAGGGAGGGAGGGAGGATTGAGGAAGGGAGGAAGAGAGAGAGGGAGATTATGAGGGACAGGAATGTGGTGGTGAGAGGGAACAGAGTGAGACGAATGGAAAGAATGGGAGATTTGGAGAGAAGTGGGAAAAGAACCAGAAAAAGTCTCTCGCAGCAAGAGTTGGAAGAAAGGGATGACTCCCTTCCTCATATGCCCCTTCAAGTTATGTCTTCCAAGTGGGACCCTTCAACTCGCCTGTGCATGTCCACCCAGCTGACTCCCGGCTTCATTGCGCCAAACACGGCTCTCTGTGCTGCCAGGACTGCCTGGATACGCGTTCAGGTGGAAGAAAATGCAGGAGGAGCGAGGGTAAGGGACGAGGATGGAACAGAGCAGGTGGGAAGGAGGACGGGTTGGAAATCGCCAATTGACTCAATTGGAAATGGCTGGCGGACGCAAACGGGACGAAGGGAGCAAGAGGGGGACTCCTTGAAAGGTCTTGGGGGAAAAAAAGGGGGGGGGAATATATGTTACAGAAAAATTGAGTATGGGTTTTTGAAATTTGCAATGAACTTTGAATAGGGGGTAAGAGGCAGGGGATGATGACAAGGGAGAAAGAAGATGAAGGAAGATTGGAACTAGAAAGGAATAAGGTAACACAAGTGGCAACAGGGGGAGTACAGCTCAGGGAAACTAGAAAGGCTAATTTGGTTGGTGGTGCGTGGTGTGCGGTGCGTAATGTGGTGTGGTGTGTAATGTGGTGTGTGGTGGTGTCTGTGTGCATTGACCTCACTCACCTCATACACCAGCCATTGATCTGCAGTGAGTGTGCCATTGACCTGCCATGGCATGGCATGGCAGAAGGGGTTGTGTGTGGTGGTGTGCGGTGTGGTGCATTCCTCTCACCTCATACACCAGCCGCTGATCTGCAGTGAAGGTGCCATTGACCTGCCATGGCATGGCATGACATGGCAGAGCGTGGCATGGCATGGCATGGCATGGAATAAGGCAGCACACTTGGCAGTTACAACAAGGGGTGGTTGGTGGTGGAGCGACCCATGGTGGCATGGGAAGGAATCACGATCGCAGGACATGTGTGCGGTGCAATACAAATTGTGCCGTGTGCCATGGTAACAAGGAGACTTTTGAATCGACTCAAAAGTCACCTCGGCATGGGAGGGAATCCCGATCGCAGGACATGTGTGCGGTGCAATACAAAACTATCGAGAGGACGCGCAGTGTGGAATGTCATGACAGCATCGAGGCCTTTTCTTACGCAATGTTCTGATTCTATCCGCCTTTGACAGCACGCGCAGTGTGGGATGTCATGACAGCATCGACGAACACAACAGCAACACGTGACAGCATGGAAGGACATGGTATGGGAGGGAATCATGATTGCAGGACATGTGTACGGTACAATACAAAGCTATCGAGAGGAAGCGCGGTGTGGGATGTCATGACAGCATCAAAGAACACAACAGCTACACGTGACAGCATGGAAGGACATGGTATGGCATGTGTGAGTGTGAGCCATACATACAGGGAAGGAGCATGTGATGTCAGCGCCATATGTGAAATACTCAGCCCCCATGTCCAGAAGTGCCATGTCCCCATCCCTGCACTCCTGCATGACACAATGGGAGGGGGGGAGAAACCTGGTTACACTTCATACATGTCTCAAAAGTAAATACCACGTTGAAAAGCAATGCTGCTGTAAAAAATTGCTCTCAACAATCATTAGAATATCCTAGTCATCCTCCGATGCTCACCCTGTCATTAGGAGCACCAGCATGGCCGTAATGCAGAATGCTGCTGTTGGGGCCTGTGCCGCATATGCATGTGTATCCAGCTAAACGGCACCCCCCAGCCACCCGCACTTTCAGGATTACCTTAGAAGGATTCTCACCCTATCATTGGGGGCACCAGCATGGCCATAGTGCAGGATGCTGCTGTTCGGGCCCGTGCCGCATATGCATGTGTACCCGGCTAAGCGGCATCCCCCAACCACGGCTGCATGGTGCAGGAAATCCGCCTCCATCTCATACTCCATCATTCCTGGTCGCACTCGCCGCATCACCTGAAAGAGCAGGGTGCAATGAAACAGGGAATGGTGAGAAGGACAGGGTTCACTTGCATGGTGCAGAAAATCCGCTTCCATCTCATACTCCATCATGCCTGGCCGCACTCGCCGCATCACCTGAAATGAAAGAACAGTGAGGTGAGACAAAGACCGGAGCGAGACCGTTTTTTTTTTCAAGTTTGCTTGCATGGTGCAGGAAATCCGCCTCCATCTCGTACTCCATCATGCCTGGCTTGACCCTACGCATCACCTGAAATAAAAGAGCGGCGTGAGGAGAGACATAGGGAGCACAAAGGTAGGTTCTTAAATCATGTTCACTCGCATGGTGCAGAAAATCCGCTTCCATCTCATACTCCATCATGCCTGGCCACACTTTCCTCATGACCTGAAAACGCGGCATGAGATGACCCACAGGGTACCATGGGATGGGACAGGTTTTTCATTCATGCTCGCTTGCATGGTGCAGGAAATCCGCCTCCATCTCATGCGCCTCCATCTCATGCGCCTCCATCATTCCTGGTCGCACTTTCTGCATCAGCTGAGAGAGCAGCGTGAAGTGAAAAAAGGCATGTTCGTGGTAAAAAGGACAGGGTTCACTTGCATGGTGCTGCAGGGAATCCGCCGTTATCTCATACTCCGTCATCCTTGCCTTCCGTCTCGGCATCATCATCAGAAAGAGAAGGGCGTGATCTGATCACACACGAGGGTTTCATGCTCATTTACAAGGCGTTCTCTCATGTCCCGGCAATCGAACCTCTCTGCACTGCACTGCACTGCACTGCACTGCATCGCGCATGATCCACCTCTGCCCAGTATTCCACCATGCAGGGAAGCATAGACAACCAATTCCTGAAGACACGCCAGCAGCAACAGCAGATTGCAACCACCCATACCCAACCCTCCCTTATCCACCCATCCCCCGGGCTCGTTTATTCCCTATCACCCATTTGAATTCCTTTGAGCCCACCTCCACATGAGCATCAGATGACACAGCAGCAGCATAGCGCATCACTCGAATCTCCTCCTGGGATTTGATCACCCGGCATTCGCTCAGTTCTGGGTGCAACACCGTCAGGTCCTGGGGAAACGCGTCTATGCCCTGGTGGTTGGGGGGGAATACACGGCCAAAAAAGTAGAAGCTGCTGGAATCAGATCACATGGCAGTGGCTGGCCTAGGCATGCAACACGTATGCATAAAATGCTCGTTTGCAACTCAGCGCACGTGCTCTCTCAAAGCATATAACTTTACATTAAATCCTGTGCGCATATTACATCAAATTGGGCTGGCTCACAGGAGTTGCCGCTGTCGGTGTTGATCCCCTTCAGGAGGAAGAGAGTCGGCAGGCTGCCGCCACTTTTGAGGTACTTTTAAGCAAAACCCGACTCACATCGAAGTGGGCTGGCTTGCAGGAGTTGCCACTGTCGGTGTTGATCCCCTTCAGGAGGAAGAGAGTCGGCAGGCCACTGCCACTCCCTGCTGCTGCTGCTTTCAGCACTGCTGCCATATCCTCGATATAGTGAACCTCGTCCACTCCATACTTGTCCTGCTCAACAAACACACGGCAGGAGGCGCAGACGGAATGAGGATGCTGAAATCACTCAACCTGCTGATGCTTTCAGCACTGCTGGCATGTCCTCGATATAGTGCACCTTGCCAACTCTAAACTGAGCCCCCTAAAGAGCAGCGAATACCTAACAACGGCCAGAGATTGACACAGATACCTTAATCTGCTGGTGGGTGTGCAGAGGACCCATCCACACAGCATAGAAGTCAAGTCAGGCAAGTGAAGCATGAAGAAGAAAATTTACGATCCGACTTAAGAAAAGATTCACTGGCACACCTTGATCTGCTGGTGGGTGTGCAGAGGACCCATCCACACAGCATACGAGTCCGGCAAGTGAGGCATGAAGAGGAATGACCGCGCTGGCTGCACTGAGACGTCCTGCAGAATTCACATATCAGTGCAGGACGCGGAAGGGAGGGAGAGAGGGAGAGACAGAGAAGGCGTGGAAGTCGTTTGAGACAAGCCAAACGCTTGTTGAACGGACATGTGCTGCTGGGTAGAGATGGTGGTGGGCGCGGAAAGGCTGGTGGGTGTCAAGTCACGCTACACTGTACATCCCAGCGCAGCTAGCCATGTGACTTTTGAGTCGACTCAAAAGTCACCAAGTCACGCTACGCTGTATGTCCCAGCGTAGCTAGCCATGTGACTTTTGAGTCGACTCAAAAGTCACCAAGTCACGCTACGCTGTATGTCCCAGCGTAGCTAGCCATGTGACTTTTGAGTCGACTCAAAAGTCACCAAGTCACGCTACGCTGTATGTCCCAGCGTAGCTAGCCATTTTCCTGAGGCGCCTCAAGTCAAGCTACGGTGTAAAATCACGCCCTATGTCCCAGCCCAACTAGTATGTCTACCAACACGTGCATATCACAGCGGCATAAAAGTTAAATAACTAAAATTCATCTTGTATGCTAACCACACATACTTACCACAGAAAATAGTAGACAAACATCAGCTCAAGAACCTCAACGAGATGCTAAAAATGAGCCACCTAAAAAAAAGCCCAATAGTTCTTCAGGCCTCTAAAAATCCGGCTACTTTGCTTACCAGCACAGTCTTACTGTCCCTCCCCTGCGTTCTCCCCTTACCCCCTCCTCACAGTCTCAATGTCGCATTGGACTCAGTACCCATTCAGATGTTCCTGAAGAACTTGCACTCGGGCATACAACATCACAGGCAGTCATGGACTCTTACTTTTGAGAATTCTCAAAAGTAAAACCCATGCATACATACCACAGCACCATAGAATCCAGGCTCGATAACCCCAAAGAGATACGAGAAGTAGCTCTCCTGCCTGTGCCATGCGATGCCATGCCATGCCATGCCATGCCATGCCGTGTCATCATACCATGCCGTGCACCATGTCAGATACACAACAGGCACAACAGACAGAAGATGGAGGGAGGATACGGGGAAAGATATGACACCATGGCGACAGGAGGTGACAAGTCACAACTGATACTGAGGAGAACCCATACCTGCTCCAGACCCATACCTTAAGCCTTACGACACCTACCCTCACCTAAAGACATCTTCATGGTCCGTGCAGTGGCGCATCTGAGACTCCCCACCCTGCTTGCATGGAGAGGAAGAAGGGATGGAGAGGGAAGTGTGATGCGGATGGAAAAGTGTGTACGCTGTAGCTTGAGGGGTACGGAATGGTTTGAAGGGTCATAGTTCCTCGCCGAAATTCCAGCCCGTGCAATCATTAGGGAATAATGAAGATAAGTTTCTATTCTTCATGGCTCTTCCCACCTGTAGGAGCACGATGGCATGCTCTTCCCGGCCTTGCAGCTTGGCTCGCATCCGCTCTGCGAGCTTCTGGCGATTTTCGTTGAACATGGTAACTGGAACTTTGAGGGTCTGCTTTCCGCGCCAGAGGAATCCGTCGGACCACGAATCCGTGAGTGAGGAGCTCGTGGTTGTCGCTTCTTTCGCCCTGTGCTCTCCGTTCGTGGCCATGATGACGAAATCCGCAAGAAAGGGATGCGAGAAATTGTGAAACAAGGATTCAGCTGGGTGAATTTCAGGCTGCTGCAGCACAGGTTTCAGGAAGGTACCACGCCAATGAAGGAATTGTGGGGGGAATGTGCTGCCATGGAGGAATCCTGTAAGGAATCGTACGCATTATGGGTGACCTGCTGCATGTACAACCACTCCTAGTCGGATACATATTTTATCAATTTCATAAGCTTCTGAGACAGGTGGCACTGTACTTGCTAGCTTCGATGTTGGAATTTCAATCCACGTCATTGCCGTCAGTAGTGTCGTTGCACGGCACGTGGAAAGGCATATTCGAACGTACCGAAAACACCAGATTCGCGCGTCAGTTACCAGATTCTACCCGTTATTGCACCATAATGTGAGCGACCAATCAGAATCCAGCGTGACAGGACTTCGACCCTCCAGCTGGCATATCCACATCAGCCTCATCTTTTCGCCCCTCACATCAGAAGCAGCAAGCAATTTCATAGCGTCCTTCGTAGAAGCAAATTTGGCATTTCTGCATTGTTTACTCTGCTGCTCGTCACGCCTTAGGCTGCAGGCGACAAGCTACAGGCATAATCTCCATCGCTTTCGTTCGCCTCGAGCATCGCATCCCCCAATCCTAGCTGCGAAACCTGTTGATCTGAACCGAGCAGCCATGGCGTGTATCGCTCCAGCAGTTGCGTCGATGCAAGCAGCAACGAGCGCGAGACTGCAGAGTCCGCTCGCTTCTGCCTCCGCAGCTTCCTCCTCCAAGGCCAGCTTGAAATGCGCCGCTTCCAGCTCACGCGCTCTCCCATCCATCACCCCTTCGCCGCTCTCTCAACACGTCGTCAGTCAAATCAAGAGCTCTCTGCCTCGGAAATACCGACGATCCGCCTCCGTGTATGCCACGTCAACGACCGAAGCTTCCACGCAGGCTCCTGAGAGCAGCAGCGAGAGCAGCAGCGGGCCGTCGAAGGGACGCGTGATGGTGATTGGTGGCGACGGATACTGCGGCTGGGCGACGGCGCTGCACCTATCAGAGCAAGGCTATGACGTGTCCATCGTGGACAATCTCAGCCGTCGGTTGTTTGACGAGCAGCTCGGATCGCAGACCTTGACGCCGATCGCATCCATCCACGATCGCGTGCGACGCTGGCGAGAGATCACGGGGAAAACGATCGCACTGTACATCGGCGACGTGTGCGACTTCGAATTCCTCGCAGACGCGTTCCAGACGTTCGAGCCGACGGCCGTGGTGCACTTCGGTGAGCAGCGGTCGGCGCCCTACTCGATGATCGATCGCAACCGCGCGGTTTTCACGCAGCATAATAACGTCATCGGTACTATCAATGTTATGTTCGCGATTAAGGAATTCGCTCCCGAGTGCCATCTGGTGAAGCTGGGGACGATGGGCGAGTACGGAACGCCGAACATTGACATTGAGGAGGGCTTCATTACAATCACACACAACGGCAGGACGGACACGCTGCCGTACCCGAAACAAGCCAGCTCCTTTTATCACCTCAGCAAGGTACGCTCTCGTGGTGTTATGTATGTTTCTGCAAATTTGTCTGTGTCAGGAGAACATTCTCCGTACTGTTGACGCGTTTTTATAATTTTCAGGAGTGACTGTATTCTTCTTCTGTTACCACAGGTGCACGATTCGCACAACATCGCGTTCGCGTGCAAGGCGTGGAACATGCGCGCGACGGATCTGAACCAGGGCGTGGTGTACGGCGTCGCGACGCCCGAGACGGAGAAAGACGTCATGCTCATCAATAGGCTGGACTATGACGGCGTCTTCGGCACCGCTCTCAACCGATTTGTAGTCCAGGCGGCTGTGGGGCACCCGCTGACCATCTACGGCAAGGGCGGCCAGGTGAGGGGGTTGGGATGGATAGAGGCGAGGGGAAAGAATGGAATGGAAAGACGCGTGAGGGGGTGGAATGGAAAGGTGGGCAGACGATGTACGAGGAAGAACGAGTAGAATGCTGGGCGAGGGCGAGAGGAGACAAGACAGGCTTGGTCACTACGAGAGCGCACGGAGAGGGGGTGTGCGTGTGTGTCGCGCTCGTGCGAAAAGGAAACGAAACAGGAGTTGGGGTTGGAAGGCGAGCTAGAGAGGCTCGTAAGATCCGACCGATGATCATGAAGCAGTCCGACTGACATACTGTAGGCGAGATGACTTGTGAGGTGACTTGTGAGTCGACTCAGGACCAGGAAGCCATACCATGAAGCAGACCTCCTCAAGCCGACAGGCTGCAGGCAAGCCCACTTTTGAGTAGACTCTGTAACTTAAAAGCAACATCGAAGAAAATTGGGTACAGATGGTCTGAGTTTAGTGTACGAGGATACGGCGCTCCGTCCCCGTGTGCAACCACGGACTCACTGGCTCACTGGCTCACTGGCTCACTGGCTCACGGCCCACATGTCCCTGACCAACACGTCCCCCCGTACCCACCACACCCCATCCCCAACCCGTCCCACCAACAACTTGCTCCCGTATGGTCCCCCCTCCCCACCCAGTGTCCCTTCCCCGCGTTCAACCACTGACTCACTGCCCACACGCCCCTTACCAACACCCCACATCCCCCTGTACCCACCACACCCCATCCCCAACCCGTCCCACCTACAAGTTGCTCCCGTATGGTCCCCTTTCGCTGGCCCCCTCGTCCGTCCCCTCTCCGCGCCCTCCCGTTTCCATTGTACCCTTGTCCCCGCACACCCGCTTGTATCTGGGAATCCAACCCGGCCAACCCCGCCAAGCCGGGCGAGTTCCGCGTGTTGATCCAGTTCACGGAGCAGTTCTCTGTGCGGGACCTGGCAAGTGTTAAACCAGAATCTCTCTCCCCTGCCGCCCCTCCACTTTCTCTTCCACAGACGTGCGGGTACCTTGATATTCGTGACACAGTGCGGTGCGTTGAGCTGGCAATTGCGAACCCCGCCAAGCTGGGCGAGTTCCGCGTGCTCAACCAGTTCACAGAGCAGTTCTCTGTGCGGGACCTGACACTTACCATCACCTCTCTCCTCCCTCCCTTCCCCCTTTCCCTCGCAGACCCGCGGATACTTGGACATCCGTGATACGGTGCGGTGCGTTGAGCTAGCAATTGCTAACCCGGCAAAGCTGGGCGAGTTCCGCGTGTTCAACCAGTTTACAGAGCAGTTCTCTGTGCGGGACCTGGCAAGACTGGTGACGGCTGCAGGGGAGAAGATGGGCATTGAAGTGAAATCTATCAACGTGCCCAACCCTCGTGTTGAGGTATGTGTGATGGGCTGTTTGGGTTGGAGTTGACAGGGAGTGTGGGTCATGGTTTATTGGTTGCAAGGCGAGGGTGCAACCAGTTCACAGAGTAGTTCTCTGTGAGGAACCTGGCAAGACTTGAAGATGGGCATTGAAGTGAAATCTATCAACGTGCCCAACCAACCCGCGTGTTGAGGTGCGTGTGCTGCTCTGTGCTGTGCTGTGCTGTTTGGCTGGAATCAAAATGGTTCACCAGTTCACAGAGCAGTTTACCAACCCCTTTCTTTCGCCTCTCTTTGTGCAACCCTCTTTCCCCCACCTTCCCACGTCCAATGTTTGTTAATCAGACTGCTGGAACTCAGCCTGCAGCTTTGTTGAAATTCGAATTCAAAACTTTGCCAGGGTTCACAACCCCTAAACTTTGAAAGTCGTATGCGTACCACTAACCTGTGAAGGTTACAACCAATCTGCCATGCAATGAACAACGTTTCCACATATAATCCGCGTGATATGAGTCATGTTTTGAGTTGTGGAACACGATCTTTCCCCCACCCTCCCACGTCTCCCCTTTGCTTATTGGACTGCTGGAACTCAGCCTGCAGCTGCTCTTCCTTGCTGTCACAACTGCCCTCCCTTTTCATTCTTCCTTTCCATCCCTGGAATCGCGACACTCCCTCTCCGCCCCATGTCCCACCAGGCGGAGGAGCACTATTACAACGCCAAGCGCACCAAGTTGCTGGAGCTGGGGCTGCAGCTGCACTTTCTGTCCAACACACTCCTCGACCCCCTTCTCACTTGCAAACCCATGTATTTCCCTCTCCACCACTCTCTACCCCTTTCTATCCCAGGCGGAGGAGCACTATTACAATGCCAAGCGCACCAAGCTGCTGGAGCTGGGCCTGCAGCCGCACTTCCTGGGAGACGCTCTTCTCGACTCGCTGCTCAACTTGCTAACCTATTCATCCCTTTTTACCGCTTTGTACCCTGTTGTTTCCAACCCACACCCCACCAGGCGGAGGAGCACTATTACAACGCCAAGCGCACCAAGCTGCTGGAGCTTGGGCTGCAGCCGCACTTCCTGGGAGACGCTCTGCTCGACAATTGCTCAACCCTTTCCCATTCTACCGCTTTGTACCCCTTCCTATCCCATACTCACCAGGCGGAGGAGCACTATTACAACGCCAAGCGCACCAAGCTCCTTGAGCTTGGGCTGCAGCCGCACTTCCTGGGGGACGCTCTGCTCGACTCGCTGCTCAACTTCGCCGTGATCTACAAGGACCGCGTCGACGCCAATCAGATCATGCCAGCTGTCTCGTGGAAGAAGATCGGGGTCAAGCCCAAGTCGTCAGTCACTACCACACCTGCGCAGTAGCAGTGGGGGTGTGGGGCTGGTTTGGTTAGGGTTAGTGTTGCAGAGGCGAGATTTGGGGATAGGGAGACAGTTTACAGACAGATCTGCGGGCCCTTGGGACTCCAGAATCCATATCCGAGATTTGATTACCACTACAGCAGGATGAGACATTGATCCATGCAGCTGACTTATCCGTCCATCCGTGTGCTGCAGTACTGGCTGGATAGGTTCTTCCTCTGTAAAGTTGGAAGTAAACACATGCAGTGTATTCGCTATGTTGCAACAATATATCTTATCACATACTGTTACAACAGTAGAGAGAGTTAGCAGCACATATATCTGCTACGGTAGTTTTGTGAAGCAGCTAGGCAGAGCTATGCATGTGCCAAAAAAACCAGCTAGCACGCATCTGTCTTGTGGGAGATCCCCTACCAGTCCTTATAATTTGGATGGACCCAGGCGTGTAACTCCCAAGCGGCAGTTCAGCCCATAGCCCCCTAACTAAATTCAATGCCTACTCAACTCAACACACGTGACAGCCCGTCAAACACACTTCAATTTGCCATCTTAGTGACCTATCAATTTTCCCATCTCATCCCCTCTCATGATGCCCCTCCCCCTTCATATGGATTTCCCCTCTCAAGAACTTGCTCCGGCAAGACCTCTAGGCTCTAGCCCGTCCCCCTCCCCACATACGTACCGCACTTAAGCCCCTTGCGTTTGCGCTAGGAACAACCAGCTTATGAGTCATCACTCATCCCATACCCCGTCCTGACCTGACCTAATTCGTCTACCACCCCCCCTCCTCCCCCCTCCCCACCCCCCCCCGCCCCCCACCCCCGCTTCTCGCCCTTCCCCTTTTCCCTATCATTGCACAGGCTGCCCGTTGCGTCTGCCGCTAGGGAACAGCCGCAGCAGCCAGGAAAGCACCTCCTCAGCCACCTGAGAGAAGGAATGGGCATGGAGGAGCGGGGCGGGGGAGTAGGAAGAAAGCATACAATCATATAAGTGAGGGAGATGAGAATGCAGTACAAGTATGAACAGGGCAAAGTCCCAGCAGCGAAGCACCTCCTCAGCCATGAATGCGAGAAGGGATGTGTACAGCTGAGGGATGGTTACAGAGAGTGACCTGGAAACCTCTAAGCCCACTTCCTTTAAAATAACAAAGCCCACCCAGTTCTCCTCAAAACGACGCACGCACTCACCTCGTCCCCTTCATCCAAATAATGATTGAACTCCGTGTATCCTGATGCGCCACGCGTGCGTGGCTATCCCACCCCCCCTCCCGCTCAAAGCGGCCCCACTCCCCTGCCCCTCCCCCTCCGCCTGCACTGACATCAGAATCTTACACACTCACCTCGTCCCCTTCATCCAAATAGTCATTGAACTCCGTGTAACCCGATGCGCTGGGCGTGCGTGGTGATCCCACTCCCCCTCCCGCTCGAGGCGACCCCACTCCTCCTGGGCCTCCGCCTCCGCCTCCGCCTTCACTTAACCTTCCCGCCCCTGCCAGCAGCGCAGTGGCTGCGGCAGCAGCGGCCGGCGACACTTGTCCGTTTGCCTGGCTCAACAAAGGTGCTGAGAGTGACTTGGCAGTTGGAGAGAGGAAGGCGGGAGGGACGCCGGTAGGAGGCAGAAGAGGAGGGTTGGCACCCGTGACTGCATCAGTGCCAGTGCCAGCCGCCTCCTCAGCAGCAGAAGCAGCACTGGCGGCACCATCACCAGCAGCAGCAGCAGAAGAGGAATTTCCAGGATCAATGGGTAGAGAGGAAGCGCTAGCAGCGGGGGTGGGTGCAATGGCAGCAGAAGCGACAGCAGCAGCAGCAGCAGCAGCAGCAGCAGCAGAGGAGGAGGAGGAGACACGTGGCACACGGGCGTTGAAAACGCCCGAGGCGGATCGGGAGGCAGAGGAAGCAGCAGCCATGACGGTTTGGGCCACCAGCAGCTCCATGTGCTGCGTCTGACTGGCGAGCTTGTGGGATAGCTCCTCATTTGCTGCCTGTAAAGGGCGTGACAGTAAAGGGCATGACAGTAAAGGGCGTGACAGTAAAGGGTAACAGATGTTATAAAGTGTGATAGGGTGTGTTAGAGAGGTTTGGGCCACCAGCAGCTCCATGTGCTGCGTCTGGCTTGCAAGCTTGTGAGATAGCTCCTCGTTTGATGCCTGTGATAGTAGAGGGTGTGGCAGTAAAGGGCGTGACAGTAAAGCGTGAGTTAGGGCTTAATACAAGGAGATGGTGCAGCAAGGTTGAGCCACCAGCAGCTCCATGTGCTGCGTCTGGCTGGCAAGCTTGTGCGATAGCTCCTCGTTTGCTGCCTTTGACAGATAAGGGTGCGACAGTTGTCGGCGTGAGTAAAGGTGTGACGGTCAACAGCATGATACAGAGAGTGGGATGTAACTGGTTGCCAGGAGGTTTGAGCCACCAGCAGCCACATGCTTACATGGCATGGCATGGCATGGCATGGCACGGCATGGGACAGCAAGGCATTGCATGGCATGGGATAGTTGGGTTTTCTCGCAACTCACCCTCAGCTCTGCTGACGTGGCAGCCTCCTCCTTGAGTGTGCGTGCCATGCGCTCCCTCTCTGCTTGCATCTGATTGGTGGATGGAAATGAAGGGAGTAAGGGGTGGGTGAGCGCAAATGAAAGCAGCGAGGAAGTTGTGCAAAAAAAAAACTCGATAACGTTCTGCCAACGGAAGGGCTTACTCCCTCTCATCCCTACCACCTCTCTCATTTTCATCCGCACCACTCCTCCCCCTCTCATCCCTACCACCTCTCTCATTTTCATCCGCACCACTCCTCCCCCTCTCATCCCCAACCTCCCTCTCGCCTTCTCACCTCTGTCAGCAGGCTGTTAATGCTCTCCAGACTCCTCTGCTCTTCCTCCGACAAAACATCCACCGATCCGGGCAGCAGAGCGGGCAGCAACAAAAACTCATCCACCACTCCCTCCTCCTCCCCTTCCTCCTCCTCTTGATTGTCCCCTTCTCCTGCCTTCCTATCCCTGCCTCCTCTCCCTCTCCTCCCACCACCACCAGCAGTAGCAGCAGCAGCAGCACCTTCCTCTGCCGCCCCTACAGCAGCAGTAATCATCTTCACCAGCTGCTCACCCACTTCCTCCAAGTTATGCCGCCCGTCACTTTCCATTCGCGTGAACAGTGCCCGAACCTCTGCCACTGCTCTCCTTCCAGCTTCACCTAGTGTCTCTCCCTCTTCATCTCTCCTCCTCGCTTGTTCTCCTGCCTCCCCACCCTCCACTGAAGGTCCGGCCGAGCCTCCATCTTCCCTTGTTACCCCTGCTGAGCTTCCAGAGAATGGTTCGGTGCTCGAGACAGCTGCGGCTGACTCGGCAGCAAAAGATGCCGAGCCTGACACTCCTGCCTTGGCAGACGGTCCTGCTTGGCTCGGGAAGGCCGCCTCCAGCTCATCAGTTGAAGTTGCTTGGCTCACGGACGGTACAGCTGGCGTTGCTGACGTGGACGTGCTGTCGCCCCGCCACATGTCGCCGAGTGCGCCTCCCACTGTCGCCCTCCTCAACTGCACCTTGAGCTGGCGCTTCTCTGAGGAGACACGTGGAGGATTGGAGAGGGGGGGGGAGGGGGGATTACCATATGATGAGGAGATGTGCCCATGGTTATGGGAAAAGTTCTGCAGGTCTGAGTCCTGACCACGATCAGCCCACTGTCACTCTCCTCAGCTGCACCTTGAGCTGGCGCTTCTCTGTGACATGGAGGATTGGAGGATGTGATGACATGTCATTTGGTGTGATATGGCATTGATTTGTAGATATTCAACATGTGGCAAGCAGCACACCACACCACACCACACCACACCACACCACACCACACCACACCACACCACACAACGCCATGCCACGCCACACCACGCCATGCCACGCCACACCACACCACGCCACACCACACCGCACCACTCCACACCACAACCCATTTACCTTCATTTAGCTTATCCACAGCGGCGCGGAGCTCCTTCCTCTCTGCTTCAAAGGTTGATGCAGCACGCCTGTGTCGTGGGGGTGGCATGGCAAGGAAATGGCAGGTGAATGGCATGTGAATGGCATGTGAATGGCATGTGAATGGCAGGTGAATGGCATGTGAATGGCATGTGAATGGCAGGTGAATGGCATGTGAATGGCATGGGGTTGGAATGGCATGTGAATGGCATGGGGTTGGAATGGCATGTGAATGGCATGGTTGGAATGGCATGTGAATGGCATGGGGTTGGAATGGCATGTGAATGGCATGGGGTTGGAATGGCATGTGAATGGCATGGGGTTGGAATGGCATGTGAATGGCATGGGGTTGGAATGGCATGTGAATGGCATGGGGTTGGAATGGCATGTGAATGGCATGGGGTTGGAATGGCATGTGAATGGCATGGGGTTGGAATGGCATGTGAATGGCATGGGGTTGGAATGGCAAGCAAACGACATGTCAATCGCATGTGCCTCTGCCTCCTCATGTAATCCCTCTGCCCGTCTCTCCAGCTTGAGTTCAGTGGACGACAACCAAAGCACCTTCTCCTCCAGCGCCAACACCTCTGCCACAACAACTCAAGAATAACATGACATCCACTCACACCACTCACCACTGTGCCTCCGCCTCTGCCTGAAACCCCTCTGCCTGAAACCCCTCTGCCTGTCGCTCCAGCTTGAGCTCGTTCGACCTTAACCGCAGCACCCGCTCCTCCAGCGCCACCACCTCTGCTGCCAGCACCACCACCACCTCAACCCATATCAAACAATCACCATGTGCACGAGACATTCACCATCCACATCACTCACCGCTGTGCCTCCGCCTCTGCCTGAAACCCCTCTGCCTGTCTCTCCAGCTTCAGCTCATTCGACCGCAGCCGCAGCACCCGCTCCTCCAAAGCCACCACCTCTGCTGCCAGCGCCTGCGATCGCTCGATGGCTGCCAGTGACTCGTGGTGGGCTGCTTCCTTGCTCACTGCCTGCGACTCCATCACCACCTGACGGGGAGGGGCAGGGAGGAGGTAGAGCAACCACAATTGGTGACAGAGCCACCACCTCTGCTGCATCGCTCGATGGCCGCAAGGGACTCGTGGTGGGCTGCTTCCTTGGACACTGCCTGCGACTCCATCACCACCCGATGGGAGGAGGGGGAAAGAGCGGAAGCAGGCAGGGAGCTTTTAGAAAAAGGTGAGCAGGGAATGGGGGAACAAAGCCATGTGGAATAAGGGTTAGAATCACGCAAACAGAACAAGTAACCGAATGCCCCCTTTCAAATCCCCAGTGATTGGGGGCCGCCTCCCTCTCCCCCACAACCCTCAGTGTTTTCAACAACCCCATCCCAAACCCACCCTTCCATCCACACCCACCTCAACTCCACCCTCAAACCCACCTGTCCCTCCTCCACACCCACATCCCCTCGCCTTTTGAGGCGCCTAAAAAATCCTTCCATCCACACCCACCTCAACTCCACCCTCAAACCCACCTGTCCCTCCTCCAGGCCCACATCCCCTCGCCCTGTGTGTCTCTCACCTTTTGCGCCTTCATCTCCGCCTTGAGTTTGGAGATCTCCTCCCTCATCTGCTCCAAGCCCTTCGCCTGAGATAGAAGCGGCAGTGAGCAAGGAGCAGAAAAGGAACGGAAGGGAGAGAAGAGTTTGAAGTTCAATACATCATTGGCCATAAAATACACAATAAAAATAGCCTTTCTCATTCACCCCTCACCCTACTTTTCCAGCCACCAACCTTCATTCCCCACTTCTTCCTCATTCACCCCTCACCCTACGTCCCCCCCTCCCCCTCTCATCACCTCACCTGGCGGTTGAAGTCGTCAGTGAGAGCGGAGTTCTCTTCAGCCAGAGACTCAGCCAGCCACCATTCAGGTTCTTTTAGAATTCTCAATTTTTTTTTTTTGAGAATTCTCAAAATACAATACAGATTGAGCCAGACCCACCTACCCCCCTCCCCTTTCATCACCTCACCTGGCGATTAAAGTCATCTGTGAGAGCAGAGTTCTCTTTCGCCAGGGACTCAGCCACCATGCGAGCTGCATCCAGCTGCCACCCCCGCTGTCCCCACCTCTCCCTTTCATCACCTCACCTTGTGGTTGAAGTCGTCAGTGAGAGCGTAGTTCTCTTTAGCCAGAGATTCAGCCACCATGCGAGCCGCATCCAGCTGCCACCCATCTGCCAACCCCTTCCCCCTTCACGGCCTAACCCCCTTTATGCCTCACCTGTCTGTTAAAGTCGTCAGTGAGAGCGGAGTTCTCCTTAGCCAGAGACTCAGCCACCATGCGAGCCGCATCCAGCTGCCGCTGCAGAGTGAACTTCTCCTCTGTCAGCTCCTCTATGTACTGTGTGCACAGAGGGAGAGGGGAGGGGTGAACGTGAGTGGTGAGGGGAAAGGGGGGATGGAAGAAAGGGGAAAGTGGGGAGGAGGAGGGGAAAGGGCCGAGGAGGGGAAGGGGGAGTAAGGGCGGGCGATGAATGGAAAGGGCAGGAAGCGGCGTGAACATTTTTCAATGAATTGCACTCAAGGAATGGATGAACGACCGGGTGAGGAAGGGAGACAGAGCAGATGAGTGGCAGAACAGACGAGCAGCACCAGGAGCCAATAATTCTAATCCAGTTCTCCTTTCCAATCCCAACAGGTCTATCCAATCCCCACCTGTTCAAGAGACGCAAAGTCGCTTGATGCAGCACCTTTGGTGGACTGCTGCCCTCCCTCCATCCTCTTCCTCACCCTCTCCGTCTCCCTCGTTCTCTCGTCCCCACTCCTTCCACCCTCTTCCTCCTTCCCAGAACTTTCCTCCTTGTTACGCCCCTCCCTTTCACAACCACGCACCCCTTCCTCTCTCCCTTCCTGTCCCTCCATTCGGCTTCCATATCCCATGCCTCTGTCCTGCTCGTCCGACAGCTTCGGCTTTCCAGGCTCGGCCGAGGCAGCAGGTTTGGAAAACAACGAACCGACAGGAACGGAGAAAGGAGAGTCTGTCATTGGTGGTCTGGATGGGAGAGGTACGGAGTCTTGGGAGGGTTGGCCCAGGCGTGATTGCAGGGAGGATGGGAGGGCAGGGGCAGGAGGCAGAAACCCTAATTCGCTGCGTAGTTTTGCCATCTGCTCAGCTGTAGCTGAGGTACCCGGTGCTGCAAGAGAGGACGAGAATGGCTGTGATGCTGCTGTTATCGAGCCTGCTGATAACGAGGATGACTGGCTGCCTGTGGCAGAGGATGGAGGTGGGAGGAAGGAGGGGCGGTACGCTGCTGCTATGGATGGCTTGGCAGAAGCTTGCGAGGAGAAAGACAAGGATGTGGACGGGGAGGAGAAGGTAGAGGAGGAGTAGGAAGAGGAGGAGAAGGCGAAAGAGGAGGAAGAGGATAGGGTGCTGTTGATACTACTCAAGGCTGTGGCACTAGTTGCTCGCAGTCCCAGTGCTGCCCCAAGCTTCGCGTCCATATCAGCTGAAGACCCCAACCCTGATCCCCCTGCCGCGCCCGAAAAGGAATACTTTCCCAAAATAGAAGAGGAGGAGAAGGCAGTTGCAGCTGAAGTGCCTCTGCTGCCGCCCAAAGCGCCAGCTAATACGTCTTTAGAACTGCCCAAGGCTCCTGAGAGAGGGTCCTTCGTAGATAATCCTCCTCCTAGCGCCCCGCTAAGGACGTCTTTAGAGGAAGAGAGTGTAGGGAAGGAGGAGAGTGAAGAGAGAGAGGAGGGGTAAGAGTAGGAGGAGTGAGAGGAGGAGGAGAGGGTGGAGAAGCTGTAGGGTAGAGAGGAAAGAGAGGAGAGTGTGGCTGCAGAGGAGGGAAAGAGCGACGATGGCAGAGGCTTTGTAGGAGAGTCAAAGAGGGAGGAGGAGGGAGTGGCAGTGGTGGAGGGGAGAAAGGGAGGGGAGGGGCGATTAGTGGAGGGGAGGATAGTGGAGGCGCGAGGCGAGTCGTTGAGATTGTTCAAGGACGATTCTTTGCGAGGGGAGTCAAGGGAGAGAGCAGAGGAGGATACAGGGGGCGAGGATGCAGAGGCAAGGGAGGAGGAGGGTTGGTGAGATTCCTCAGAGGACTGCTTGGGAGGGAGAGAGGTGAGAGCGGAGGGTTTGGTAAGGGAGTCGTTAAGGCTGGGGTGGTGAGAGGATGGAGTGAGGCGAGGGAAAGAAAGCTCTTTCTGCGCAGCTGGCTTGAGTGGCGAGTCGAAGAGGGAGGGAGCTGAGGAGGTGGTAACACTGGTAACAGTGCTTGTGCTGGAGGAAGAGGAGGAAGTGGAGAAAGAGGAGGAAGAGAAAGACGAGGAAGAGGAGGAAGAGGAGGACGAGGAGGAAGTTGAGAAGGGATCAAGGTCAGGAGAAGGGAAGACTTTCTGAGGGGAGGCAGAGGGAGTGGTGGCAGCAGAGGCAAGCTTCCTCAGCCCTCTCAACCATGATGGTCTTGAAAACCCTCCTTTCGACTCCTGCTTGCGCCCCTCCTCTTTCTCCTCCGCTCTCGCTGCACCCGCTCCAGATACCACCTCCCCTTTCGCCCCAGATACCGCCTCCCCCTTCGCACCCCCATCCTTCACCTGCTTCTCTTCCCGCTCCTCCCACTCCCTCCCCTGCAGACCTTTCACCTGCCCACCATGCACTGCTTGAGCTTGCCCTCTATCACCCCACGACTGCCACCTACCAGCAGGCACCTCATCAACCCCCATCTTCATATCATCACCCGCCCCCTTCACAGCCTGCCCCACGTTAATCAGATCTGAGGCTGACAGGCTCTTTCCCCCTCCTAGACCCTGCCCTCCCAGGTTCCCCTTGCCACCCAAAAGTCCCACGCCCCATTCGTCATCCTCCTCTCCCTCCTCTCCCTCCTTCTGCACCTCTCTACTCCCAGCCTCCGCCCCCTTCGCCGTTCCTGTTCTCTCCTCTGATCTGGGAGCAGGGGCGATGATATTCCACCAAGAGGAGATAGACTTAGGCCGGCGGCGGGACGAACCGTCACGGCCCCCATCCGATCCTTTCTGGACCTCGCTCTTCTTCCCAACAACCTCGTCACTCTCCTCACCATCCGCACCCGCGCCCACCTCTCCCTCCTCCCCTTTCTCGCCATCTCGCCAGCTTTCCGCTGCTCCCGCTCTCTCCTGCACCTCCTCCCCTGCTTCATGCCCCTGTGAATCACCGCCCTTCGCATGCTCACGCCCCTCTTTCTCCTGCTCACGCTGGCTCACTTCATTCTCAGTGCGAACCTGCCCTTGCGTCTGCGTCTCAACCCTACCCAGCACGTCTCTCGCTGGCTCCTGGCTAGAAACCCCTATACCGTCTGCTGCTACCACTGCTCCTGCTGCTCCTCCGTCCCCTCCTGCGCCCACACTCCCTAATGCCGCTCCTTGATGATCCACCTCCTCCTCTCTCACCCCCTCCAGAGACCCCCCCTGTGCCCCCTGCTCCTCACCCTCCACAGCCCTAGCGTCACTCCCACTCCCTCTGCCCCTGCCGCCGTCGCCCCTCATCATCCCCCGGGCTGGGGAAAGAGCAGCGGAAAACAGGCGGGCAAAGGCAGAACCCTTGGGCCTCTCAGGCGACCTCAGCTTCTCAGCAATGGAAGACTCCTCCTGAGGCAGCGTCCTAGGAGACAACGGTTCACTAGCCGCCAAGGCGTCACCGTTGCCCCGTGAAGGCTCATTAGTAACTTCCTTCTGGCTGTGCACGGAAGCAGACTCAGACGCTGACACAGGGGTATCAGGAGGAGAGCTCACTTGAGCCGTATCCAAGCCTCTAGACGCTGCAAAATGCAGCAACTCAGAATCATCTGCGACAGTAACAGACGAAGAGTCAGGAGTTGAACCGGCGTTTGAATCAACACTATCCTCTTGGCGCGGGGCGGCAGGGGACTGGCTGGTGGGGGCTGCGACTGGAGTCACCAGAGAGGCAATGGGGGAGTTGACATCAGCTATTGCGGGAACTGGGGCTGAGAGGTGCGGCGCACGGGAGGGGACGAAGACGGAGGGGGAAGGGGAGGCAGCGGAGGAGGAGGGGAGCGCGGAGGTGTAGGCGGAAGGGAGAAAGGACGCGCGAGCAGGCTTCGCCACAGGCCTGGGGGCTGCTGCGGAAGGTGCTGAAGGGGTGAAGAAGGGCGATAGCACAGGAGGAGGAAGAAGGGAAGAGGCCGGAGGAGGAGCAGTGAGAGGAGGAGCAGAGGCAGATGAGCCTTGAAGGGAGTCATGGGAGGTAGACACAAAGCTGGCTGCTGGAGTGGATAGGTCAGATGATTCAGCAGCGTTAACAGCACCACCTGTAGTGCCAATGCTCCCAGACGATTTCCCTATACTCGCTTCCGGAGGCGAATCCTCTGCAGCCCTACTGTGCGCCTCGTTCTCCGCTCCCCTTGAATCTTCTGCCGTACGTCCCTGTTGCAGCCTGGATTCGCTATCGGCAGGTGACAGCACCTCATAGGCGAGCAGGTCCTGCTCTTGTAACGAGTCCCTTATAGCGGGTATTGTGGGGCCCAGGCTCGGTGCATGGGCTGTAGAAGCTGAAACCGTCTCAGAAGCAGCACCAGCAGGAGCGTCAGCAGAAGCACCAGCAGAAGCGTCAGCAGGCGCACCAGCAGAAGCATCAGCAGCAGAATCAGACGAGGCCGAAGCAGGCAGCACCGCCACCTCATCTGCTGCAGCACGGGAGGCAGCTGCTATCATCACTGGTCTTTGATGGCTTTGATTGGAAACAGCGGGAGAGAGAGAATCGAAGAAGCTCTCAGCGTCTGCATCCTCCTCTCTCTCCCTTCCCCCTCCAAACCCTCCCACGCGCGTTTGCGAAGATTCGCCCAACCCTCCCCCCCCTGATTCTGCTTCTCTCCCTTGTGTTTCACTGCCTCTTGCACTGATACCGTGTTCCGACACTGATCCAGGCCCTGCTGCTCCCTCCCCCGCCATGCCTACATGCGTAATGCCCTCCCTCTCCTCCTTTTCCTTGCGCCCGCCGCTGTTCTGTAACTCTGCCTCTCTTTCCGCCCCTCCACCCCTCTTGTCCGTGCTGCTACCAGCGCTTATTGCGGCGGCAGGTGCGGCTGCAGAGTGCGGGGTAGATGAGCTTGTGGATACCCCAGGAGGAGCGGCCAAGGATGAGAATGGCCCCGTATCGTTGCTGTTTCCGCTGCTTCTGCTACTGCTGCTGCCGCTACTGCTGCTGCTGGTTCCGCTACCACTGATGCCGCCAGTGTTACTACCCTGTACCCCCCAAAGCGGCCCCATACCCCTGCTTTGACTCGAGCCTCCCCCCATCCAATCCGGGCGGGGCCGTGCGCCGTCTGCGCCTCCCCCGACCTTCACTGGCGGGGGCGCAGAGAAGGCGGGTGGCGGAGGGGATGCGCGGGACGGCTGCGCATCAGGCGCGGGGCGAAGAAGGGAGGGCTTGGCGGCGTTAGGCGCACCGGCTGGGGTGGCGGAAAGTGCGTGGCTTGGCGCGCCAAGGAAGCCAGGCGGAGGCGCACCGGCGGACTTTTGCGCTTGAGACGTTTCCGCCGGTGGGGAAAAGGTGCGCGAGAGCGGAGGCGCAACGCGCGGGGCTGGCGCAAGACCGGATCGGGAAGCGGGTTGCGCGGGAAAAGAAGGCTCTCGCGGAGGGGAAAACGTCCGCGCAAGGGAAGGTTGAGCGGGACCCCTCGGTCCGGAAAAAAGCGCGGAAGCGGGGGGTGCTCCACCGGGACCGGGACCCGTAACCCCGCTCGGTTTCGCAAAAGTTATCAAAGGTCCCTTCGCCGCAAACGGGAGCGGCTGCATCCCTGCGGCCGGCCTCGTGGCGGTCGACGCGGCGGGAAACCCGGACGACGGAACTGGTGGAGCGGCGGCATTGGCTGCGTCAGAACCTGGGGGCCCCGGAGGGTGAGGGAGGCCGTTAGCGGCTGAAATCGACGGCTGAGATTGCTGCCAGAAGGGAGTGAGAGGAGATCCGAAGTTGGCCGATCTAAACGTGGGTAGGGCCGCCGGAGCTTGGGCTAAGCCAGGCTGAGCCAGCGGCCGTGTTAAGGCGGGCGGAGCGAAGGAATTCGGGTGTGATTGAAACGCGGGTGGGCCTATAGCGGGCGGAACAGCGGCTGTGGTGCGAGGTGGCACCGGCTGCTGAGACGGAAGGGGATTCCCCGCAGAAATGGGCTTGGCTGCTGGCTTAGCTGCAGCGGAAGTGGCGGTTCGGGAAGATGCAGACCCCCCTACTGCTGCTGCCGCTTTCTTCTTGCGGAATTCTTCGAGCTGCAAGTTTACGCGAGAATCGGAAGTATGCGACAGGAAACGGATTCTTAAGCTGGTATTGCAAAGCAATGCGGAAAAAACACATGAAATGAGTTGTCGTGAAGTGACGTGGTCACAACAATTTTGCGACCGAACTTTGAGAAAGCAAAATGAAAGCCGAGGAGGACATCGGCGAAAAGGAGGACCACCATAACTCCGCCATGAGGAGAAAAGTTACCTTTCTTCGGCCAGCTTGAGCTAATTCATTCTTCTTAGCGCCAGCAGAGGCCGGCTTAATTGCTACGTCAGCCATGACTACAGACAGGATAGTTAGAAAGAAATCAAGTGAGAAATCAAATAACCGTACAGCGAGGAACCACTAGCTATGCAGTGAGGAGCTGCAAGAAGGAAATTATCGATTCAGTGAACGCTGTCACGTGGAGTGTCCCACGAGAACGATATAAGAGGGAGCATGGCGGCCTAAGTCTAAAGCAGACACACTCAATCAACAATTATAACCAATAATGATGCAAGGATCAAGCTCGGAATAACCCCGCCAGCGACCTGAGCTGCGAGTTCAAGGCAAGAAGGTGAGATCACACTTTCACTGATTCATGGTGGTTGTGAATGGATCAGCTTTCTGTGAAGTGGGGTGAGAAATGGCTCAGATCGTATTCCGAAGTTGGGACACCATCGAAGTTCCCCCACCGCAAGCACTTATTGGGGGTGGATGGTGTCCGTGTGGGGTGTTGGTCTCTTGTTCGTTCTGTGCGGTTTATTCTGTTTGTGTCGCGGTGGTAAATCAAGAACAGCGCTCTGCGCCGTGTGGAACCGCTCTGAGCCACTATGAATAACAGTAAACGCACACGCACACCACATTTCCAGACCAGGCCAAACCAGGCGGAACCAGATTTCCGCAGCAAAACGTGCGGTTGGGATGGGCTCGAGAGTCGAGAGGCATCAGCGCAGCCCTACACTGCTGAATCTGTGGTTCTTTCTGATTGGCGGGACGACCTGATTTCACCTGACAGACGGGGCACCACAGAAACGCGCAAAAAAGTTCGTCAATGTACACCAATACTTCACATCTTACCGTACACAAGTCAAGCTATATAAAGCTTTTATATATATATATAAATAGGAAATAAGGAGGACTATATCCAACTTATCCAGCAATCACGTCAAATCCTTTCTCCAGAGCATATCCATATGCTCAAAAACGTCCTCCTCGTTGCACCCCCCCTGTCCAGTTGACACCAGTCCTTCATGCACATCTTCTTGCAACCCCATTTGCTCTGCCAGGGGTTCCCTTGCCACCTGAGCTCCACAATACGGCCAGCATTCCACCAGTGCCTGTAACCACACTAGCATAGAACCGTTCTTTACTGAAAACGAGGCTGTTCCAGCAATCCGAACATAACCTGCCTCAACTTCAGAAGAATCTGCTGCGGAAGTGCTCACAGCAGTCCCCTTACCAGGAAATGCCTCGTCAGATGAACCCTCGGGGTCAAAACTGCTGCAGCTAGCACTGGCTGCACTACAGCTCCTCGAAAGCACTATGCTCTCCTGCGTTGGTCTATCTCCAGCACTCCAGCAGCGATCGCATGACTGCTCTGCGAGCCCCATAACCTTCTTGTTCGCGTGTCGAGCCCCAGCTACACGCCTGGAAACGGTTGCTTGTCTGCACACCCGATCGCGTGTGCCGTGTTCTTGTTGCATATCATTGGCTCCTGTCCCTGTACACGCCACAGCGGCTCGTTTCCGCTGCCTGAACTCCTCAAGCTGCGTGAAATTTGCGAAAATAAGACAGTGGGGACGGGAGAGCGAGAAGGAGAGAGTGAGGGTTGGGGGACGAGAGGAGGACATGTAATGAAAGGAAGGCGGAATGCGGGATAAGTCTGACAGACGAGTTTGAGAAAAACGTGTTAAAGTAACAGAGCAGAAAGGTCGGAAATAAGTGTAAAAACAGAAACTAGAAAATGCGCTTGATAAAAACAGTTGAACATCGTGGTACGCAAGAGTGATGCGAACGACGGCAACATACCTTCCGCCTTCCTGCCTGCGCAAGCGCGTCCTTCTTTCTCTCTGACATTTTAAACGATGGCTCGGCAGTCGGGCCCATGTCGCATGACGTGGCTATTTCTACGAAAAAAGAAAAATTGGTAACTTAGCTCGCCACGATGAGAATAGTTTCAGCACAAGCAGCGGCGTATCGGAACCCTGTACGCGGCAAAGTACTAATGCTGGTGGGAACAACAACATAATAAAGTTCAAAAGGAAAGGCGGGAAGAGGATTTGTGAAATGACAAAATCGAAGGTGGTTGAGATGAGATCGACAGCAGTGACTCGTGCAAGGCAGCAATAATCGTGGCAGACATGAGATTTCGAAGGTCGCCTTCGGGCTCACGAGTGTGAGGGTTTGTTTCTTTCCCTCGCGAATGCGTGTGCTATGAATAGAGATACTTAGGGCTCGTTCTTGGCTGGTGTCAAGCTTCGGGCCAAGCTGCTTTATACGAGGTAGCATTGACGGGCATGAGGGAAAATCGAAAATTTGTGTCAGACCTCGCTAGAGGGGCCTGACACCAGGGGAACCTGGCCCGAAGCTAGACACCAGCCAAGAACGCGCCCTTATATTACAAATACAGAGATACAGGTGTTACGAAGTACTTTCAGAACCGAACACCTCAGCGGAATTCGGTCGACGGACCCGAATTGCCAGTGTCGTCGAGGGGGGTCGTCAAAGCCTGGGCTGACGGGGCGGAGCACTGACGCGCGTGCGGGCCCGCCAGCCTGGCCCAGGGCTGGGCCGAGCGCACGACCGCCGCCCCGCAGCCCCGCCCCGAATGTGAACAGTGGCCCACGTTACCGGGTGGGGTCGGCGAACTGGTGACACCTCGCGCGTGGGAAAATTACCCTCGCGCGAAGGCAGCCCACACGCGCCACCTGCCCGCGAGGTCCTAGTAACCCATCGCGGCCTGCCCGGACGGGCAGGCGAGGGCCAGGCGAAAAGTCGGGGCCCCCTCGGGACACTCGACAACTTCGCGACCCGTTGCGGTGACGCCACGTGTTCGCCCGCCTACTTCGCATCGGGCAACATGCAGAATTTGATACATTGCGGATTCAATTCGGGACATCGCGAATTCGATGTCGATCGCTTCGCGGCGCACGTTTTTCGCTTCGGGGCGTCACATCGACTTGCTGGCTCGGCGGCGAATGAGGACTTGTGCCACTTGTGCACGACCCCGCCAAACCCCGCCGAGGCAGGCACCACGAGGGCCGGGCGATGCCTCGACCGTTCCTGTGGGGCACCGACCCCCTTTTCTTGGTGGAAGGGGGCATCGCTCCTCATTTTCGGCATCTCGTTTCCCTTTCCACCTTTTCCCCAGCTCTGCGCCTTCTCCCACATTTCACGTCCCTTAGCCGCTTCCCTTCCCCGCCATGTCGGCCGCCCCGAAACTCGGCGAAGTGACGCCGACTTCGCAGGACTTCCCTCTGTATCTCGACCTGGGTAGTGGACTCACTGCCAAGCTCGACGAACACGACTACGCCGTCCTCGTAGACCATAGGCTAGAGTTCAACGCCCATTGCTTGGGATTCGGCCTCAAGTGAGTGTCCGTATTGGGATGTCGACGTCGACCGCTGGATACCTTGCAGGTCGACGTAGATAGGGTTGTCCCACGTTAGGGTTTAGATCACTACTCGGTGACGCACACAGCCGTAGGTAGGCATCGTACTCCGATCACTACAGTAGGTCGGTGCCCGCATCGGTAGGCGCCATTGATTACAACGTAGCGACGGTGGTGCACCGTTCTACTATCGCCATCCCCGTCAGTTGTCGGTTCCAGAACCCACGTGTCCATCCGTCGTGCCGCGCACGTCCTCAAACACATCTACTACCCATGCATGCGTGCAGGTACGCATGGATTCGCGCGGCGCCGGCCAACATGCGATTGTGGTCGATAGGACTCGGCCGGCTTCGGGCGGCGATGGGCAAGGAAGACCACTCATGCTTTGCAAGGAAGACCACTCATGCTTTGCAACGGTGTTCGACGCCGACGTAGCTGTTATCCCTCTGCATTCGAGGTGAGCCTAAGTCATGATGGTGTGCCATGATGCCTATGTCGCTGCTCCGTTCTGATCGACGTCGTGGTGCCTAGCCTGTGCAGCATCGCACCGCTTCCAGGGGGCACATTGCAGCGTCGTGGTCATCCTGTACCCCGGCGCTTGTTGCGGGCCGGGGGAGAGACGATCAGGACCTCTGTCCGGCACTTCGACCCGCAAACCGTGAAGCAGTGGCACCGCGACGAGGCGATCCGCGTGCTGAAGTGAGCTCGATAGTGTAGTCGACGACGCATGCAATTTCGCCGCTGGGCGTTAAGCAAGTCTACTGACGATATGTGCCATGTTGCTTCAGGTTTTTCCGGGCGGCGGTGCTGGCTGAGCTCGGCCGCGATGGCCGGCACTGGGAGTGGCCGAAGCCTTCTACTGAAGAGGTGGCGGCCAGGCTCGCCGACTTCAATGAACCCGTTCGAGATGTGAGTACCGATCGTTTTACCGTCCTAGCGCGATGCCATCGCCGCCGTCGGTGCTCATCCTTGCTCTCTGCTCTGTTGTTTGCAGAAAATGCGCGACACCATCCGGGACAGCGACGCAGGCTCTGGCCTCCTATCAATGAGCGCGCTGTGCTGGGTGGTGAAGAGGATGGATCGCCTGACCGGCGACGACCGTCGCAGTGCGACCAGCATGGACAAGGTCCTCGTTTCGGGGTTGAAGGAGCTGCGGATTCGGATGATGACATGCATCAAGGAACACGTCGCACGCAGACGGTCAGGCCATGTCGGAGTTGGTGCCGATGCCTGTGACGACGACGCCGCGGAGCCCCCTTCGGCATCCCAAGCAGTCGGTGTCGCCGACACCAGCGGAGAGGCCGGAGACGGCGTCGACAAGGCAGATGAGGAGGCAGAAAGGGCTGTGGCGAGGACCGCGGATCAGGAAAAGGAGGAGGAGGAGGATGACACCGACGATCAGGATGATAACGAGGAGGATCGTGAGGAGCGTGAGCAGGGGCATGGGCAGGAGGAGGAGGAGGAGGAGGAGGAGGAGGAGGAGGAGGAGGAGGAGGAGGAGGAGGAGGAGGAGGAGGAGGAGGAAGAGGAGGAGGACAAGGAGGCGGCGGCGGTGGAGGCCGTGGAGCAGGGTTTCGGGTCGGTGGAGCAGGTGGCGGAGGGGGAGAAGCAGCAAGAGGGGGAGGAGGAGGTAGAGTTCCCCTGGGTCGAATTCGAGATGGAGGATGTTGAGGGAGCGGCGGCGGTGGCCGTGGAGGGAGCGGCGGCGGCCGTGGAGGGAACGGGTGGGATGTCGGCGGATGTTGTGCACGTGCGAGGGGAGGGTGCCGATGTGGAGAATGTCGGCGTGGAGGAGGCGCACGTGGTCGGCAATGTGGTTGGCGACGCGAAGGAGGAGGATAACGTCGCGGCCCCGACGCCGACGGGCGTGGAGACCACCACAGGGAACGCCGGGGTGGAACGCCGGGGTGGAGCGGTAGAGGCAGGCCGTCAACCGGGTTCCTCAGCAGCTGGTCGGCAGGCAACGCCGGCCGTCGTCGCGCAGCTGCGACAGGAGAACATGTGGCTGAGGGCAGAAAATGCTCGTCTCGAGACGGCGCTCGGAGTGGAGAGGGGTCGGGTGGACAGGTTCGCGATGGGGATTGGCCACCTCGTGGACAAGCTCAGGTCGTTGGCCGACCAGGTCGCCGCCTCCGACCAGGACGCGTCGAGTCGGCTGATGGACGCGTCCTTGACCATGGCGACGACCGTGACGGAGAACATCACCGCCAACATGGGTGAAGCATGGGATGCAATGAAGGCGTACGCCGAGAGGGCGGAGAGCTGGTTGGACGATCTAGAGAATCCGGAGGGGTTTATGGCGGTGCAACGTGCGAACGCGGTCGTCGCCATGGGCAACCACGTGGACGAAGCGAGGAAGGGATTGGAGGAATACATATCGAAGCACCTAGTCGCCGCGCAGACCAACATCGCCGCCGCGGTAACTCAACGCGTCGCCGTCCCGCCGCCCACGCAGCCCGCCCCACCGCCAGCCTTCCCGGACGAGCTCATGAAGTCTTTCAAGGCGGACGTGTTGAAGGCGGTGACTGAGGCCACCCAGCAGTCGTTTGCTGCGTCCGGGTTAAACCTCATGACCCAGGTGATCGGCCATCTGGCGCCTGGTCGGCATGGGTCGTCGCCGTCGGACAACGAGGCCGACAAGAAGGGTGCGAAAAGGGCGGGCGGCGGAGATGATGCGTTGAGCTCGAAGCGGAGCAAGGGAGCCGATGGGAGCCGCGGCGTCGGCCAGGTGGGTCCAGGCGGCTCGCGGAGCAAGGGAGCCGATGGGAGCGGAGGTACGAGCGTGGTCGACCAGCTGAAGAAGAACGGGGCCAAGGTGATAAGGACGCACAGCAAGGGCGATGGAATCAGGAGTGCGGAGGGGGGCCCTGCCGACCAGGTTGCCGCTCAAGAGGCTGGACCAACAGCCCCGCCATTGGTCGCCGAGAAGCCGGCCAGTCTAGCGACCGCACCAACGGCGATAGATGGCGGCGCCAAAACCGTCAAGGGACCGTCCGTCGGAGTGGCGGGGACCACGTCGATCCCCCGCAAACCCCCTGCGGCTAGCAGCGCGCCGGTCGCCCCGTCAGCCGCCAACAACGATGGGCCGTCCCTTGCGGCTACTCCAGCACCAGCAGGCACGTCTGCCGCCAAGGTTGACGCGGTGGATGCTGCGGCTAACCGCGCTGGTCCGTCCGCCCCAAAGGCGAACGCGCTCAGGGAGATGCTCAGCCGCATGGAGACCCATCGACAGGACGTGCAGCAGCCTCTCGTGGTCGTTACCGCGCCGGCCACAACAGCACGTCGCTCGGTCACTCCCCAGGTCGCCGCCACAACGTCCAGTGCCCCACCTACCGCGCCTATCATCGCCGCCCGTCCTCCTGTGGACCCAAAGTCCGCGTTGCTTCGCGCCCGGTTAGGCGCACGTACTGCGGCTGCGCCAGCACGGGCTCAGCCGGTATCCAGCTCATGCGCGACGCCAACGTCGGTGACCGTAGCTGCACACACACTCGGTGCGGCTACTGTCGAGGCGGTGGCGGAGAAGGGCGTGAGTGCAGCGCTAGCCACGGGCGGCAGATCAGTTGACCCTGCACATGCGGCGAAGGACCACAACGACGCCGATATCGCTGCCATCTAGGACCTGTTGGAAGCGGTAAACCGCCCCAAGCAGCCCCCTGTGCTGGCCATCTTGGACTCGGCGAGTCCCACCGGTTGTACAGCGGAGCCAAAGACGACCACTGCTGCGGTCGGCGAGGGAAAGTCGAAACGGAAGGGGACGGTCGACGCAAGGAAAGCGAGGCCGAGCTCGAAGAAGAAAACACGGGCGACGTCGGCGATGGTGAAGTCGGTGGAGAAAGGACAAGGGATGGCGACGGCGATGGTGGAGAAGGAGAAGGAGGAGGAGATGGAGGAGAAGAAGAAGGAGAAGGAGGAGAAGGAGAAGGAGAAGGAGAAGGAGGAGGAGGAGAAGGAGAAGGAGGAGGAGGAGAAGGAGAAGGAGGAGGAGGAGAAGGTGGAGGAGGCGGAGGTGGGGGAGGAGGAGAAGGAGAAGGAGGAGGAGGAGGAGGAGAAGGAGGAGAAGGAGGAGGAGGAGAAGAAGCTGGAGGAGGAGGAGGCGGCGACGGAGGAGGAGAAGGTGAAGGTGAAAGAACGGAAGGGTCATGGCATCCGCCACGACACCACGGGCGACAAGCAAGGGTGGGTGGGCGAGATTAAGGTGGTCGGGAACGAGAGCAGATACATCGGCAAGTCCCGCGACAAGATGGAGCTGGCGTACCTTCACTCGATTGTGTACCTCCTGTACGACGGTTACATCAGCAAGATCCTCATGGCCGAGCTCACCGGCTTGGAGGAAACAGTGATGAAGCGGTGGAGGGCGGTGTGGAAGGAAGTCCGGTTCTTGCCGACTGGGATGTGGACGGTGATATGGGCACGGGGCGCGTTCCTCCCAAAGACACGGTAAGTCGGATAAACGTCGGCCAAGCTATGATGTCGACGTCGGCGTTCCTAACGGCCAGTTTCGTGTGATTGCGTGACAGGTTTGTTTCGCTATATAATGTTCGCTCATGCCTTCGCTCATTTGTATTCTTGCTTCGATAGTGCAATTCTCGTTCGTTCACTCAATTGCACTCGTAACACTTGGTATTCAGAGCCTACGATCTCATCTCGGACCGCATCCACACCTTCGCTTCCCACTATCTCAATTTTTTGGGGGGGGTAGACGTCTCTCAGCGACACAGCACCGCCGCTCGTAGTGCTCTCTCGAAAGCACGCACTGCCACGACCGAGGCTCTCGGTGAGCTTGCCCGACACCCCCGCCATGGCCGATTTCAATCTCGCCATGTTGACGCAGGAGCAACTCGATCGTCTCTTGCGTCAATTGGAGGATTCGACGCTCGAAATCGCGACTCTCACGGCGGAACGTGACTCCTCCCGTCAACAGTCAACGGTGAACGTACCGACGACATCACACGCACCAACCAATGCATCTGCACATTCGGAGGAGCCCATCGTCATCTCATCCGGCACACCAACGCAACACAACAGCACGGGACAGCGCTCAGGCGCAGCCAGTGACGGCGCAGCCCAACCGATGCCCGGCATGGGAGGGAACAGGAGCGCATTAAGCCCACGGGAGCCCCGAGAAGCCCGTTGGCACGTGGAGTTTGCGGCGACAAGTGGCGAGAACGCCATGATGGCCCCAATGCCACTCAAGCCGCAACGCCCGCCCTGCTTCGACCCAAGCCAACGCGGCGGCCCGACAGTTCAATCGTGGGTCTTCACGATGAATGTGTTTTTCGACGCCAACTACGTCGAGTCGGACGCCGCCAAGATCCGGTATGCGGTTTCACTACTCAGGGGCTCCGCCATGGACTGGTGGCGAGTCATTGTGACGTCGCCGCGCGCCTACGAGCCACCATCGCACGAGGAAGGGCCCTCGGGTCCAGCTGTTACCTGGAGTTCGTTCTGCGAGACCGCCCAATACAGCACGTGGGATGCGTGGTGCGCAGGGCTTCAGGCGCGCTTTGAGCCGATCGCGGCCTCGATTTCGGCGCGTCAGAAACTGCGCACTTGGCGCCAGCTCGGGTCAGTTCAAGACTACACCAGCGGGTTTCTCGCACTTTGCGAACAGGTCGGCTACATGCACGAGGCGGAGCGGGTGGACCGTTACGTCGGAGGGCTGAAGCCGGACATCTCGCACGAGATAATGCTACGCGGGCTCTCGAATTTCAACGAGATCCTCGCGCTCGCCGAGAAAATCGATATCCTACGCCGACCGAGACCGGGGTCCTATTACGGACATCGTCCTCGGGGACCAACCGAGCACGCCACTGTACATGCCGTCGCAGCGAATGCAGCTGCCGCGCCGTTTAGAGGGCGCTGCTTTGCTTGCAACCAGCCGGGCCATCGCAAGAGCGAATGTCCAGAGGAGCTGAGGCGTCGAGGAGCAGAGCAGGGGAGGGAGTCTCGGAGGCAGGGAAACGCCAGCAGTCAGTAGAAGTTGGGCCAACTACTGACGAGACTGCCTGCTCGCCCAACCACACCGACCCTCACCGAGTCACAGTACCGATTCACGCCATCGATCGGGCTCGGATGAATAAGGAGGGTACAGCGACGGATTGCCCGGTACTGATCTACGGGAAAATACAGGGAGCAGCAGTGAAGATCTTCATTGACGGAGGAGCAAGCCACAGCTTAGTTAATACCGCAACCGCACGAAAATTACAGTTAACGCTTAACCGATGTTTACCTGAGATAGATGCACGCTTAGTCGACGGCACGCCCCTGGCCATACGGGAAAAGGTGGAGCGCGTAAAAGTCCGCTGCGGAGGGAACTTCGGTTTTACACAGGAAATGCTCGCGACGACACTGGATGGGCACGACATTTTATTGGGACGTGATTGGCTGCGACGGTACAACCCACGGATCGACTGGACGACGGGGAGCTGCACAGTGCGAAGTAGTGGTAACTGGGTCGTTCTACCTCGCTGGCAGCCACCCAAATCTTCGACGGTCCAGGTCAACGCCATCACGATGAAACGGGCTGTCGCTGCTGGAGCTGACGTGTACGCAGTGGATATCGCACTCGTAGAAAAAGATGAGGAGCCGAGTGATTTGGAGAAACTGCTGGCAACTGTACCGACCGAACTACAGGCACTACTGAAACAGTTCCCGGGGATATTTCCGGATGATTTACCACAGATACTGCCACCTCAGCGGGCGCACGACCATAGGATCGAGTTAGAACCGGGGGCACAGCCAACTGTACAGCGGCAATTTCGACTGACACAGCCCGAGCTCGAGGAGTTAATGAAGCAGTTAGATTACCTGTTAGAGAAGCAGTTTATCCGACCAAGCTCGTCACCGTTCGCCGCACCGATACTATTCACACCGAAAAAAGACGGAGGGTTCCGCATGTGCATCGACTACCGAGCGCTTAACAGGGTAACAGTCAAATCGCGATACCCCATCCCCCGCGCCGACGAACTGATCGACCAACTGCGAACAGCACGAGTCTTTTCGAAAATAGATTTACAGGGAGGTTACCATCAGATTCGGGTCGAACCATCGGACTGCGCCAAAACAGCATTTAGGACTAGGTACGGGTCATTCGAGTATACAGTAATGCCATTCGGGCTAACGAACGCGCCTGCGACATTTCAGATGACCATGAACGAGGCGTTTAGACCACTTTTAGACAAATGCGTGATAGTTTACCTGGACGATATTCTAGTTTACAGCCAGGATAAGCAGCAGCACTTAGTAGATCTTGAAGCAGTTTTTAAGGTTTTGGAGGAACATCGGCTACTCACCAAGGGCTCCAAGTGCGAGTTTTTTCGGGACAGGCTAGAATTTTTGGGTCACGTCATTTCGGAGGCTGGGGTTGAGATTGACCCAAAGAAGCTGGATACGGTAAAAGCGTGGCGCCCCCCGACGAACATCACGGAACTGCAGAGTTTTTTAGGTTTTGTTGATTACGTTTGACGGTTCGTGCCCGACATGGCACGTTTAACAGCCCCACTCACTGATTTACTGCGTAAGGGGGTCGCTTTTACGTGGGGGGAGAAAGAGCATGCTGCCTTCTCTGCCCTGAAAAACGTTCTCTGTTCACCACCCGTTCTACGCATCGCTGATCCCCACCGCCCTTTCGAAGTGGTTACCGACGCAAGTGACATCGCCATCGGAGCTGTACTGTTACAGGACTTCGGCGACGGCCTCCAACCCATCGCCTACGAATCACGCAAACTACATCCGCTTGAGCGAAATTACCCGATACACGACCGCGAAATGCTCGCGATCGTGCACGCATTCAAAGTGTGGCGCTGCTACTTGACCGGCGCAGGCGTGACAGTACGGACAGACCATCGATCTCTACAGTACCTCCGCGCACAGCCCCACCTCAACCCACGACAGATTCGATGGCTCGATTTCCTTGAGTCGAATTTTCACTATACGGTCACATACAAAAAAGGAGCCTCGAATATCGCCGACGCACTGACCCGCCCCACTGCCCAGATCCACGCGATACTACTCGCCCAGACCAGCCCGCTACTGACAGGCCTATTTACCCACGGATATCAAACAGACCCGTTCTTTACAGGAGGCAACTCACAGCAATTCGCAGCGGCAAAAGGAGTCTATTACGTAAAAGCTGGAACCGACCGCATCTGGGTACCAGGATACACGCTACTGCGGGAACTACTGTTACAGGAAGCACACGACGGAGTTACCTCGGGACATTTCGGGGTAGAAAAAACACGGCAGCAGCTGCAGCGGTACTACTACTGGCCAGAAATGTTGACCGATGTGCAACGACACGTGGCATCGTGCCCCACTTGCCAGCTCATGAAGTCAAGCAGGAAGCGGCCGGCGGGACAATTACAACCCATCCCGCCCCCAGAGCGTGCTTGGCAGCAGGTGACGATGGATTTCGTCACGGGGTTACCAGCTGGGGCGAGTGGGAATGACGCGATCCTGGTCGTCGTCGATCGACTAACGAAGATGGCTCATTTCGCAGCATGCAGGAAATCAATCACAGCCGAGGAAACCGCCCGACTCTTCATCACCACCGTCGTTCGACTGCACGGGATACCCGCATCGATCATCAGCGACAGAGACACAAAATTTACAAGCAACTTCTGGCGGAACCTGTGGCAGCAGTTCGGCACGCGCTTACAGTTGTCAGAACATATATGTAGCTTATGCTGTTGTGTAGGCTACAGTGGGGTATACCATAGGGGGTACAACCCAATTAGGGTTTTGCTATTTGTACTCACTTCATTCATAGTTCATCCATTCTCGTTCTATTTTCCACATGGTATCGAGCAGGTTCCCCCGTGGGAACTGTGCTTAGGGCCCACCACTTTTAAACTTTTTTTTTTCTGCCCGGAGCGCGCTCCGGGCCCTCGCTCTCACTCTTTCGACCTGCCCTGCAGGCCCCTAGCCGCCCGCACGCCGCCCGTTCAGGCCCCTAGCCGCCCGCGCGCCGCCCGTCCCGGCCCTTAGCCGCCCGCGCGCCACCTGTCCCGGCCCCTAGCCGCTCGCGCGCCGCCCGTTCAGGCCCCTAGCCGCCCGCGCGCCGCCCGTCCCGGCCCCTAGCCGCTCGCGCGCCGCCCGTTCAGGCCCCTAGCCGCCCGCGCGCCGCCCGTCCCGGCCCCTAGCCGCTCGCGCGCCGCCCGTTCAGGCCCCTAGCCGCCCGCGCGCCGCCCGTCCCGGCCCCTAGCCGCTCGCGCGCCGCCCGCTCAGGCCCCTAGCCGCCCGCGCGCCGCTCGTCCCGGCCCTCAGCCGCCCGCGCGCCGCCCGTCCCGGCCCCTAGCCGCTCGCGCGCCGCCTGTTCAGGCCCCTAGCCACCCGCGCGCGCCCGTCCCGGCCCCTAGCCGCCCGCGCGCGCCCGTCCCGGCCTCACACCGCCCGTGCGCCGCCCGTCCCTGCTGCACGCCGCCGTCCTGGCCCCCCACGCCG